TTTTCAGTGACTATGAGGAAAGACTTTTCAAGGGGCAAGTCCCAGCAAACTGCAAATGAGTCTTAGTCATGTTAGATGAGCACATCAGCTATTTACTACTGGTAAGAGAATCATTCTTTCTTGCAAAGGTAAGTTAGATCATCTAAATGTCTAGTGTAACATAACATTGCATAGAAAGGTAGCTTGCCATGTTAGTTTGAAGGCAGGCAGAAGGCAGGACAGAGTGGCCTTTAACAAATTTACTCGCATGATCAGGGGGCAGCAGGGCAGGCCCTATAAGGAGAGGTGACGGGACCTGAACCTGTTCAGCCTCCACAAGAGAAGGCTGAGGGGGGATCTAGTGGCCTGTTACAAACTAGTCAGAGGGGACCAGCAGGCATTGGGGGAGTCCCTGTTCCCCCAAGCGCCACCAGGAGTGACTAGAAATAACGGTCACAAGCTGGCAGAGGGTAGATTCAGATTAGACATCAGGAGACGCTACTGCACTGTCAGGGCGGCTAGGATCTGGAACCAGCTTCCAAGCGAAGTGGTGCTGGCTCCTACCTTGGGGGTCTTTAAGAGGAGGCTAGACGGACACCTTGCTGGGGTCGTTTGACCCCAGTACTTTTTCCTGCCATGGCAGGGGGTCGGACTTGATGATCTGCTCAGGTCCCTTCCGACCCTACCAACTATGAAACTACGAAATTAATTTAGAGAGGCATAAGTTAATTAGGTGCTTCACACATCCTTCTGAAGGTGAGAAATAAAACACTGACCCGTACTGGAGAAAGGTAAGGTGACTAAAATGATTATATAAATTCCATTTCTTGTCTAAGAATATGTCCCCATTGACCACACTATGGAAATAATTCACATAGCTCAGGACTGTTTCCACTGAATTTTCTTCATTTTTATAAAAATACTAGTGAATTGCCCATCAAGAGTGATGGGGAAGGGGCAGGATGCAGGCGGGAGGGGACAGAGCACCACCATCCATCACTCTGTGCTGCCACTGCTTCCCAGGGGTGGGGGTGGGGAGGGCCAAGCTTGCATGTGGCAGCCCCTGCTGCTGCTCCGCATCCAGCCCCCCTTCATCCCTGGAGCGGTGGCAGCGGCCACATGCAAGCTTCCCTGGATGCAGGGGGAAGGAGGAGGAAGCTTGCACGTGTTGGCCACCACCACCACCACACTCTGCTGCTGTTTCGGGGATGAAGCGGGGCTGGATGTGGGGCGGGAGGGAAGCTTGCTCCACCTTCCCCTCCATCCCTCTCTGCCAGCACCCTGTGCTGTTGCCTCTAAGGAGCCAGGCCGGGGGGCAGCACTGGCCTTGCCCCCTCCCCCCCCAACTCCACGCCCTCCATCCCTGCTGTCATGACGGTACTCTGCCTCCCACTCCATCCCCTGCGGAGCACTCTGATTGGTTGTTTCAGTAAGCATTGTGATTGGCTGACAGACACACAGGTGGATTAAGCCCTTTATTGTATTAGAATTTTGGTTCTGATTATTTACTATCATGTATAGCTACTTACAGCTGTTCAAAGGGAATATAAAACCCTTTGGGAAAGGTAAAGAGGAGTTGGTAAATGGAGTCCATAAAGAAGACTGGGATAAAGAGGAAGCAGAGAGGAGATAGGAGGAAGGAGAGAGTTAAAAGAATGTGGGTGGAGGGGAGAAGGGATGAAAATAGAGGTAATGAGAGTGGGAATATGGTTAGAAAGCAGGCCAAGAAAATGTATGAGACTCAGAGATGTACAGGACAAATGGCAAGGCCTGTGATGACCATAGAAATGAGGACTAAAAATGGTGAAAGGCAGCAGTGTTTTATAAAGTTGTAGCTCCTTCCCTATTACCCTGTTAATGGTAATTGGCCTAATCCAGGGGTGTCCCACCTCTTTGAATGTGGGGCCGGATCATGAACTTTTCATCACCCAGCGGCTGGGCAAGCCATATTCAAAGACCTCACAGGAAGCGGTATCACATCAGGAAGTGATGTCACGTGACCTTTGACACCAATGAAGTTGCGGGAAGTGACAATGAAATGGGTCTGGAAATGTGGTTTAAAATCCAAAATAAAAACAATATAAAAGAAACAATGAAATAATGCCAAACACTTGACTAAAATAAACACTTTCGCATAATGCATAATGAAAGAAGCATAATGCCAGTCGACAGATTAAATGTGGAACAGCTATCAGCCACAGGGGAAACTAATCAAAGGTGGAGGGATGTGTCTTGGCGGGAGACACCTGCGCGGTGCTTTGCAGCCTCTGCCACTCGCTGCCTTGCAGCGGGTGGGTGGGGAGGGGTGAGGGAGCGGGGGCTCCTCAGTGCACCCGAGCGGCTGCGAGAGAGACTCGTGGCTCCGCTGGGCACGGGGCGGGGAGAGCTGCTGCCACGTGCAGGAGCCCCAGTCCGGGCTCCTCCTTGTCCTCCCGGCCGCAGCCTCCCCGGGATGTGCTGCAAAGGCGCCCGCCTCGCTGCCCCGGCGACTGTGTGCCTGTGCTGCCTCCTGCTCCTGCCTCGGCCCCGCGCAGCTCCACCGCTGAGCCCCGGCCCCGCACAGCTGCTTCTGCCTGCTTTCAAGGATGCTTGATAAGTCGTCTGGGCACCAGGGATCACGTGTGTGCCCGGGCCCTGCCGTGGGGCACTGCTCACTGCGTGTGGGAACCTTGTCCTTTCCCCAGCCCTTCAGCAGCCCTTAGGAAGCTGCTGGGGGAGGGACAAGGGGTGAGACAAGGGGCAGCACCCCTGGCCTCAGAAAACGGCTTGGTGGGCTTCATGGTGTCACGCGGGCCATATGTTGACAAGCCAGGCCTAATCAGACCTGTTAGAGAACTTTGGGGAGAGGGGTGTTCAAGGAAAAACAAAAAAGGATTTTACATTTTGTTTGAATCAATACAGATGTAACCTCATCAAACACTACTGAGCACTCTGCCCATCCCAGACCTATCCAAACTAATCTGCTTTTCACTGCTGAAGTTTTCCTGGGTGGTCATCCTTATTCAGCCCTGTGCCCATGGCAACAAGTACTGACCTGGAAATTAAGTTTTTAGCAGCTGACCATGTGATATTATAAACCCATAAAAAGACATCACTAATCATCAGCTGCTTTTGCATTCAATCTCTTTGCTTGCTTTTAGGATATCCTGACAGATAACAGATAGTGAAATGATGATAGAATATCTCCTTAAGATTTTGTTTCAGCCACGTGTCAAACCAAACAAGCGAAGACTTTATATTTCATTATCTGTTATTGCTTAGGGTGTCTTCATTTCTTTACTGCTGTTTCTGTATCTTGTTGAATTAAAAAAAAATACACATGCTTGTAGCTTTGAGTTGATTTATGTATTTACATTTGCTATTGTTGGGAGGAATTATGGATATTATATGAAAAACAAGCTGTTCATTTTATATACTTTAGTATTTCTTAGATTCATAGAAAGTAGAGATGGCAAAGACCTAATCCAGCCCCTCTAGTCTATTCTTCTTTCCTGCAGGTGGTGCATTTTTTACAGTTTATCAGACTCTGTTCTTGAGAGACCTGGGCCTTAATGCAGGTTTTTAATTTGGTAACCACAGTATTAGGTGCGTCTTGTCTTTTGCATATTATGCTTCCACCTGCTGCTGCTTCTGTTTTCATAAGGAGCCAACAGTACTTGGTAATTTGGGAAAATGAAGCCTTGCTGTAGAACAGCATTTTTGACCAAAAATGTGTTTGGTTTTGTTCTTTGTTGTTGCTGTGTCATTTTATTCATGGCCACCAGCACCAATGAAACCAATACTGTGTAGATGGTACCTGATTTCTCTTGTTTATTCTTTTTTTGAGTTGGCAAAAACCATACCGGGTGTCTGCTGTCCAATTTCAGCATAATAATACGTAGAAAATCTACCTCTTTGGGTTAGCACTCTTGAACCTCTTCCAGAAAGATTTATAGGGAATCTGCAAACCTCTTCAGCAGATCTTGACAAGTTTTGAAGGTTGTCTGGGTGAGAGAGTATAAGGGAATCATCACCTTCTCTGGAGATGACAATGCATCATTAATATTACCTGCAAGGTGTACTGTTTTATGGTGATGTCCTGAGTGATATGAACTTCAGAGATTCCCATAGGGTTGATATCATGGGATGATAGAAGAGTAGAGACCTGAAGATGCAAAGAATTGTGTTTCCTTTTGTGCATCTAAATGGCTGTCTTCTAGCTGTCTGTGTGGCCATTTTTTACCTGTCCTGGTAAATGTGGGCATGTAGATCAAGCATATGTAGGAGGTCTGGGTAGGTACACACCCACATGTATGCATACTGGAGTGTAAATTCCAGGAAAATGAGGGGGTGGAGGTAGAGAAGCCCGTGTTTTAGTCCTATGACTAGTTTAAACACTTGCACAAGAAGTTGGAGACTCAAGTAATAGTTTCAACTCCAAAGGGTTTGAATGCCCATCTTTGTAACTTCTGTGTCCAGTGTGCTGACCACCACACCGCAAGTCAGACATTATCCAGATTCCTCTCTGGTGCTCCTTTTGCATCTGAACTTAATATTTAATGGTCATTGCATAAAATTAATGAAAGCAGTGCATCAGAGAAGTTTCTTCCTTAATCACAAGAAAAACTCAGAGTGAAATGCTCCATTATCTTCCTGGTAGGCCGAAAGGAGAATGTCTTGCATTTGAGAGCTTGTCTAACTTTATCCCAACTATACAGTTAAAGATATCACCGTAAGAAATCCTTATTTCTCCTATTCTTTGTATATCATTTAATAAATTGAGATCATATTTTCAGGATTTTAAAACATTTTAATTTTTTTTAATAAAAGAACAACGCATAATTTATTACCATGTGTTACTGCTGTAATATTTTGACAGGACATTTAAACTATTTTCTTCCTTGCACCATTTTCACCTCTCACTGCTGCTTCTGAAAATTTAAAATTTCAGGGACTCTCTCTCTCAAAAAGAATAGACACTGTGTTTTAAAATTATTTTTATAAATCTTAACATTGTCAACAATTAAAAGGAGCAAATGTAATCTCTCTGAATTATGTATTATTTCTTTTATTCAAACTGTGCCTCTGTAAACATTTTAAAACAAATAGGAACAAGAAAAGGTGACCCAAAATTTGTATACAACAGGTATTCAGCCAAATATGGGAATGTTAAGGAAAGTGCTAATTTTAGGCTCTTTAAGAATGAGACATATTAGCTGTACTCTGCTAGTAAGAAGGAATGTGCCTGTCTAATATTCAGAAGAGGAATGTTTTCAGTATCTCTTTTTAATGTATTTATTTTTAATCACCCATACTCTAAAGAAGGAACTTTGTTAATGGCCCAGCAGTTGCTGACAGGGAATGGCACTATTTTAGAAAAGAGAAGAGTGTTCTCTCCAATGGATTGTCAGTCTGGATTTAAAAAATTACTATAATATTGACTCTTCTTGACATGTTCCTAATTAAGAAAGGAAAAAATCCCACTGATGAGAGATCATTAAACTTATTGTGAAATCCAAAATTGGGACCAAGCAACTTTTCCCCAGACAGATTATAAGAATAAAACAAATCTTCTTCCTATAGTGTATGTCACTGTTAAGTGACAAATTGCAGTTTGACTTTATCTTCTTAAACTGGTTAGTGATTTTTGGACATTCAGGCTTTCATTTGTCCTTCCTGTAATAACGGAAATCTAATGGTTACTTGACTAACCTGTCGATTAATCCAGGGTAGATGCAATATTCCCAGTCCCTTCTTTCCTCTTGTTGATGAACTGAATCTTAATGATGGTTTCTTATGGATATCCAAGGGAGAGAGTCCAGGTTCACTTTTCTATTGAAAGATGTTACAATGGCTGAACAGATGACTCTTAAAACCTATTCCACATTCCTGAGAATAATGGACAACTGGCCCAGATGTCATGGAATATCTTTATATTGGTTGGACTTCTTGTGTCCAGAGAAACCCTGGACGGGAGAACATTCTAAGAAAGCTTAATACAACATCACCTGTCAATGAGAGAGTGGCAATACAGAGTAAGATTTCAAACAGAGTACACATACACACAGTATCTCAAGCAGCTGGGGGGATACAGAATAAAAATCCACACACGAAGTAACCTAAGATACAGGGCTGATATCGCAAACATGTTGAATACACCAGGGAGAAGACAGAACATTCAGATGTAGTTAAATAACCCCACTAAGTTCATCTGATGAACCATGTTGGTTATTCAGGGTCCTTGATAACTGCTAGCCAAGATAATCTGAGAAGGAATTGTTCAGAATTAGCTCCGTGTCACAAAGTCCCTTCTACACATCATCAATAAAAGGTCATCAGGTGGATGGAAGAGCTGAAAAAAAAATGTCAACATTGATGAAGACCTTTCTGAAACACCGGAAGTTGCTAGGACCAGCAGTGACTCTGGTGACTTAGATGATCCCAAACTGGGCCAGCTCATGCAGTTCCAGATGACTGAAAGCCTCCCATGGACAGATCACTGTGATATCTGCAAGGGAGGAGGAGAAAAACAGGGCAAGATCATTACACTTCACACATATTGCTGTTCATAGGGCTGGGCAGCCTAATTTACTTCATACTTCTTGAGGTAGGAGCAAGGAAAATGGGCTTCCACTTAAAGACTTGGCAGACAAGGGTGTTCTTCCAGTCATATATGTCATTTCCTACAACACTGAACAAGATCAGTGTTCTTGCATGGTATTATGGCTGTATCGAAACCAACCAATTGTCCTTATGATCTGGTATCTCATGTTCAGTAATTAATAACTAGATGCAGAGGCAGATGCAGGTGGGGGGATGCAGTGATGCAGTCACCCCCCCAATTTGATTCTTGATTCTTGCTCTACCCAAACTTAAAAACCAATTCCCTGGGCCTGGAAGGGGCAGAGGCCTTTCTATTTAGGCAGCAGTGAGGGAGTCAATTGACTTCATGGATCATTATCATCTTACTGATTCCAGCTAATCTCCTTCCACTCCAAACATGCTAATGCCCCTCTCCTTTTTAAGGGTCTTAACTTTCCACTGGTTAAACTATCCTTGCTTCAGCAGTTGTACTGTCTGTTAACCAGTAATGTCTCTCTCCTATTTCACAGCTGTGCAGACTTTTAACTCTAGCTAAAAACCTTAACTAAGGTGCAGTAATATTAACTAGAGCTGTACAAAGCTTCAGTCCCCGATTCGACTTGGTGGAGATTCATCCCAATTTCAGTGGCCAAATCTCCAAATCAAATCAGAGGACCCTTTAATCTTTCCGAATCGAATCGGAACCCTCCGAATCAATTCAGAGATTCGGATATAGAGACAGCTTTGAATGTTTTTTCTACATGCCTCTAGGGAGCAAGGGCTCATGAGTGCTTCAATGCTGGGGCACATGGACTGTCTCACAGAAGCATAGGATGCTTCACAGCATGCTTGGCAGCAGACCCAGAAGTGGACCAGAAGCACTTCTGGTCCACTTCCAGATCCGCTGGGGAACGCACTGTGGGGCCCCCCCGCACCTCCCCGGCTTGGCGACTGGTGCCTCCTGGGTCTGGGGGGGCACCCGGGGTCCCCCTGTGGTTAATTGCCAAGCTGAGGAGGCACAGGAGCACCCCCCAGCATGCTACCTGGCAGACCCAGAAGTGGACTGGGAGCATTTCCGGTCCACTTCCAGGTTTATCGCCGAGCATGTGGAGGGCGCCCCCGTACTCCTGTAGGATGTTCCATGGGCCCCAGCATTGCAGCAATCATGAGCTGTGCCTGCTATCTCGAGGTATGTAGAAAAAACTTTTAAAGCTGTGTCCATGTCCGAATCGCTGGTTCTCCGAATCAGCATCGAATCTTCAGATTTGGATTCAGCTGAATCGAATTGGGAACAGTGATTTGAGCCGAATCTGAATCGAATAGGGCCCACTTCGCACACTCCTAATATTGGCTCAGGTGTAGAATTGACTGACACCAAACTATTGGAGACACTGTCAAAATGCTATATCTGAAGAAGAGAAGTATATTTAACTATGACTACAGGATTAATGACCCAATATTATTTGACTATTTTGACTATTTTTGTCTGCTTTATTTTTTTTTTAATTTAACATATTCTCTAGCAAATTAGTGCACATTCCAATAATTAAATCTTACATTTGTTTTTGCTTTGATCTTAAAATGAATAATCTAGTGCCCCCAGCATATTAGTAAAGCTTCTAGTTTAACTGGAGAAAAATGTGTTATGTTGCATGTGATGATGTACCACACCATCTGCACCCCTCCTTTTTAAAATCTTAGAACCGCCTATGACTAGATCTATGTAAATGACTCAAAGAAAATGTTTCTAATTATTCAATTTACTTTTCATTCCTTCTCTTTTGTTTTCAAATTGTCCATGGCCAGAGCTGTTTTGACCAATTGCAAGGTAACGTATAATACGTTTCTGATTCCCAACTGGATGAATGTAACTCCTAGAATTTGAGATTCTGGTGGGAATATTAACAAGCAACAATTTGAAATGCACTTTCTGTGACTTCCCTCCATTATTGGCATAGATTTTTTTTCTGTGAACATCCCTGCTGGGGAATTCATTTGCAAGACTATTTACAGAAAGCAAATGCAGAATGAGCACATTCACATCTGAGTGAAAACATTCAAAAATTCAGATAAATGTAGTGATTTTTTTCATAATATTTTCCTAGTTCCATAGTTCATTACATAGTTGATTACAATGAAAGAAAATTGCACCTGGCCAGTCCTACAGTGCTACAGCATGAAGGCAAAGAAAGAAGATTAACACCAGATTGTAGCAGATACTCCCTATAAATAACGAATCGTGACTGATTGTTCTTGTAACAAGAATAGTAAAAGAACAATATTCCACATGCCTACCTGTTCCAAGTCCCTCCATGCCTGGAATATCATCCCCAAACCTATGGGAAAGGACAACACAAGTAAGGTGGAGCTTGAATAGAACCTGAAGAGAAAGCTAGCCTCTCACAAGGATTTTCCAAATGATGGGAGACAGAGGCCTAGAAAAAGGGGAGCTGCTCAGTAAGGCTTTTCTTTTGCCCCTGTAATGTTAGAGCGCAAGATCAGCACCAGAGATGAAAGAATAGCTCTCGTAAGTTCTTCACTGTAGAAGGAAGGGGAAGATTGTGCAGGACTTCCTTAGGAATAACATGGTATAGCAGGTTTGTTTCCAAGTTTTTCCTACTGAGTTCTATGGAAAACGTGGTGCACAGTTACTGGATTCATAAGAAAAAAGTGTCAGTACCAGCATGATTTTCCCTCCTTGAGAACAGATCCTGCCTTCTCAATGTTTCTGTGTAGTCAGGATGCATATATGAAAAAGTGTATCAAATCAATTAGAAGTGCACCACATGGCCTGTGACTAGCATATGTGAAGGGCTGCACTGCTTTCATTCAGCTCCTTAATGCACTTACCCTTTTACTCCTTTCTTAGGAGGCTTGCTCTTGAACTGTCTTGTCTGTCTTTGCTTGAACTTGGGAGGCCCCTTGCGTGGTGTGGTGGGACCAGATGATGCTGGTATTTCTCCTGGAATTAAGGTGGTCTTTTCACTCATTTTGGGGTTGCTGTGTGCAAGGACAGTCCTCTTTCACAGCTTTCTGCCTGTAAAACAAACGCAGAAAATAAATGAAGGGAGCATACCAAATGTATAACTCCTAGTTACCATCAGCTAGTGAAGGGACCAAAGAAAAATCATAGCTGTAGCTAGGGCCTGGAAATCAAATAGAAGGCTGCAACAGGACTGGAATATCTGCAGTCATACTCACTAGGATTAGAATGGGAAGTCTTTGTGTTCAAAACCATGTACAAAGCAGCTGGGGACAGAAAGACACTTGTATTCATAACATGATATTGCACAATGACCTGCTGGGAGACAGAAGGTTACATCATCGGCCCAAGCCTTTATTATTGACTAGCGCTGGGGTCATATTGCTAGGTCAGAGGTCCCAACTGTCAGTTGTGACAGAGTAGGAAAACTAATACTAAGAGAGCTAGACAATGGGTTTTCTCCTATATGACACTTTTTTATATATATATATATATTTTTATTTACAGATTAAGCATGCACCTATTTGGAGCCACACCACTCTAAAAAAAAGTTTTAATCATTTAGAACAGTGGTTCCCAACCTTTTTTATACTGCGGACCAGCACAGGAGTGGGACGGAGCACATGGAGGTGGCTGCCTCCCTAGTGGGGCTGCCCTGCTGCCCAGGTTTAACCCCACACATGACTGCCAGGGGCGGAAGCTGCTTACCCAGGTGGACAGATAGGGGTCCAAGTGGGCAGCTTGTGCCACGACCCAGCAGTCAACTCTTCACAGCCTGGTACCAGTCTGTGGTCCAGTGCTTGGGAACCTCTGATTTAGAATATTAGGGCAATATGGAATATCATCCTCCTGGGGAAATAGTAGAGAGCACCCCAGATATTTAAAATTGGATTGTAAAGCAGTTCAGATTATCATTTGGGAACAATTATTCATTGCTTGGAATTTGGGGAAGCAGGAAAAGGTTGAAGGCTCAATATATGTTTTCCATTCATATGAGTTCAAGTGCTTATGTGCAGTGGCTTTATATACTTTATTACTGCATATTTATCAAGCCTGAACTCTACTTCATAAAATGAAAATAAGGTTAATAACTACCAGTGTGTGGCTCTCAGTATTTACAGTATGTACTTGGCATACTGTAAACATGGGTAAAGAACCATTTGGCCCCTGTCGCCCCTTAGAGCATGGAGGCCTGGAAAGGACATATATTCCACTGAGTGGCATCCACAGGACATCACTTCTCTTGCCTCAATTTGTAGGGCTCCTACTTCCATATCCAAGGGTGCCATAATTCCACTCCCAACCATAGATCTCTTGACACCTGTGTCCAATAAGGGGTCTCAGTTATTTCAATAAATATGATGCTGATTAATGTACACCATGAGTAACACAGTGACCTTTATATGCAAGTTCCCTTATAGAAAATATATTTGTCTATCATCTCCCCTCTCTGTAATCATACCCCTCCCTTTTCTGCTCTCCATGGTTATTACTTAACTCCTACCATAAATCATTTACTGACAAATGATAGAATTATCTTTAAAGTTGTGGTGCTGAGGGTTAATCCCAAGTATCACCCCAGTGATTCTAAAGACCTTAAAAGAAGAATCTTAATTTTCAAATTATAAATGCCAGCAAAGATCTGACAGCATTGTCTCAGATTTAAATCACTGCCTATTTGAGAATGAGGGAACTGTTTGCAAGACTGTATCTGAAATGGCTATAATGCCTTCCTTAAAAAAAAAAATCTAGAGAAGAGAAGCAAGGGAAAAAAAATCAAACAAACCTGAAATGCAAGAGAGAAAAACACATCTTAGCATTTCGATTTAAACTGTGTCAAGACCGGCACGCCACATGGTTTTTTTGCTATGGTTTACCACGTCCAAAGTGATGAGCTTCTATGTGAGTCCTAAGTGAGCTCCTAAGCAATGCCTGGGGCCCCCTGCCAGCCAGGGCTGCTCTGACCTGACTCAGTATGCTGCAGCCCTGGGTGCACGTGTAAACACGATGTCGGGGAGTTGTAGCCACCCCCAAGGAAGAGACAGGGGAGTTTGCAGCTGCAGCCAGGAGCAGCCTTGAAATGTATATATGGTAGACCAGTGGTTCTCAACCTTTTTTGTACCAGGACCCATTTGTAAACATGATGTTCAGTTTCGACCTTGTAAATAGTTTAGGTAGAAAACAGTCCCCTGGCCCTGGCGGTGCTGCTTACCCCCAACCCACAGCTTCCCATCCCACTGGCCTGCTGGTGCCCCTCACACCTGACTCACTGTCCCCTGCCTGCTCCCCCGTCTTGAGGTACACTGTGCCCCAGCCAGCTGCTCTGCAGTGGAGCCCCCGCACTGAGGCACATGGAGAAAGGGGAGCAACCAGCCCCTGCTCCCCCATCTCAAGGCACACTGTGCCCCCAGCCATCTGCTCTGTCTACACGTGTGCAATAATTTATTGTGCTGACAGATACCACTTATATCTGATGGGACTATCTAGCAGTGCAGTAAATAAGTCTACTGCACCCTATTGCCCTGAATGTATACAAGGTGATGTTCTACTGCGCAACAAATTAGTCTGCTGCTCAGTAAAGTGTCTTGTGTAGATACACCCTTAGTTCCTTAACCACAAGACCATCCTTCTTTCCAGAGGAAGTGCTATTTACAAGACTCACCAAGATTTAAGAAGCTGGCTGCTTTGCACAAATGTTACCCCTGGAGTATTAAAATTGTACCTCATGGTGTGTAGGGGCTGTCTCTGCCTAAGTCCATGGTTACAGCATTAGGCACCACCCTGAAAAGCAACAGTAATCAATAGAGTGTGCAGTTACTAGAAGCATTGAGTTGATATGCTTGTGTAATCACTAGCCACAGGACAGCTCTAAACAGCTTTGATTCACCTTGTAAGAATCGGAGTGTGGCTGGCAACGTCTTTCCCTGGCCATCTCCAGGACAATGAAATTCACCACACTGGTTAAAAATGCTGATTTAAAATTTCAAATGCTATCCAAAAAACCCCCAAAAGACTCCAGAGGAGCAGCTGTGATCAATGACTTTGCAGTGATATTGCTCTGGCATTTATAATATACAAGGCTGGCAGTGAGTACTGCACTCTGGGCAGACCAGAATGCACTTGAGAATCAGCATCCCCTTCACCCTGAACTTCACTCCGGAAGAAAAAGCAGTTACTAGGAAGGCTTAATCTCTGGGCTTCATAGGGTGCCCTATCCTACTCCTCAGGGAGGCAATACAGCCATCCAGCACCTGGATTTTGGTGGGAGAAAGCCTCAGATGAAACCATGCTACCTCCTGTTTCTCACCTAGACTAAACCAATAGGGCAGGGAAGAAATGGTATATGACAGTAAATGATTAGCTGTCTCCTTTCCCCTCACCAAACTCACTGACCTTGTTCTCTCCACTCATCAGGACAACCTGCTACCATGCTGAGGGAAAAGAGCAGAGCTTTGGTGCAGGAAGAGACTTAGTGTTGGGTGAGTTCAACTTTTTTTCATCTCGAGCTAGGAATCACATTGACACTGCCATTGTTACACTACTCAGTCAGCCGAAGGTATTTTCCGTCTTGAAAAAGGCAAAGTGTTTGTGGTTCAGAGATCATTCCCCCGTATCATCAAATCTTCCCCAGTCCCTGTGTCTGTGACCAATTCCTCCTGAACACCACAGGACCAAGGAATGGTGCTGTAGTCCAGGATTCACCAAAGAAGTGGATACCCACAGCACAGCCTTCCAGTCATGTTTTCTGGCCCTGATTGTCAATTGGTTTAGAAGATCTAGTAAATCGACTATGAAAATTAGCTATGAATTCCAGTCCTTTTCCAATGAAGGCTGAAAGGCTCTCCGTCTTCTGCACCTTCTCTCGTACAGAGAGAGGCTGCATCCAACAGCATCTCTTCTCAACCAAGATTAACTTTTGTTTAATGACCTTTCTTGTGTCTTGAATTCTAAATTTTACCGAATACCTAGTAATATGCTTATCCAGATTATGTCACATGACATCTCGCCTCACCCCAAGCTAATCTCCCTCCCCACCTTTCTTGCTCTTCCCATGTGCCTTCTTTTTAATCTTCTTTCCTCATGACTTTAATCTCTGATCTTGTATGACCAGATTCCTTGACAGACAGCCTAGACAAGTAGCATGATCTTCTTTAGAGCAATGACAGACATGGGTTTAAGGTAAGCTATGTCAGAAGCCATCAGACACAGACTATTCCACGTGTGTTGCAACCTTCAGCGGTGCTTCTAAAATGGAAGGTACTGGATCCATGTGAGTTGTGGTCATCCTCACAATAATTCTCTTTAAATTATATATAATCTCTGGTAAATATGTTCTTGCTACTACATTCCCTCCACAAATTAATTCAGTCTCGAGTGTGGTTCCTTGTGTGCTGCTGTGACCTTTCTTGCAGCAATGCTTTAGCTAGACAATTTTTAGTAACCAGTATCGCACAAGGTTGCAGATAAGGGAGAGAAGACCCACAGCTCTAAATGTCAGCTGTTTGAACTGGCTACCTAGGTATATATTATGAATATTTCCAGCCTCAGCCATGACTGATGCCCATATCCTATAGCTCTGAGTTCTCAGGCTCTTTTCATTAGCAATGGTTTAAAGACCAAGGATAAGCAAAGAGAGGATACTCTTGAAAAGAAAAATAACTGAATCTAGTTTTAAGTGGAACTGTATTCTTGTTGCATCCTCCTTTCTGGAAATGGCAGGCACCTCCAATGCATCCTGCCACGGTTAAATTGTGAGACTAGAATACATTAGGCTGGCAGGAGGATATAGGGTGTAGAACTATACTCGGGATAGGGTTATCTAATAATGTGGGCTTCCTCATATTTGTGCTCCTCAGATACCAAATGATGATGTGGCAGTATCTTGTACCCAACAGTCAAGTCCTAGACTGCAATGGTGTCCTTACCACAGTTCCCTGTAATCTTTCTTTTACAAGCCTGCCCTGCAAGTACCCAGGTACTAACCTGGGTTCTAGCCACAAAAAGGATTAAACAAATTCCACAATGGCCAGCTGTACACAATGGTAGTGCCATCC